GTTATCTCAGATTCTCCAGCATCGGCAGTTCCTACTATCATTGGTCTTAAAACGTCAGTTCTGCTTTCTGTCCACAGCTGCTGCCACACCTGCTCAGTTTCTGCTGTGTATTCTGTGTTTCTTACAGATTTCCAGTATCTGCATTCTTCATTTTATTTTATGCCTGTCCAAATATCACAAGTTATTGATACATCTTAACAGAATAAGCCATCTTAATAGCTTATTTGTGTCCAATTTTTAAAAGTATTGACTGAAAGTTTGTAATATACTAGACTGGCACATGATCAGCAATTTGTGCCATTGCAAGTTGAGGTCTTGCCAGTAGCACATCACTTAACAGGCAGAAATTTAAAAGCATAGCAATGGTAAAATCTTGACATGTTAGTTCAAACATGCATAGGGCATGAAAATTTATTATATAAATCTTATAACCTTTAATGAAGGCTTATCTATGAATCAGCAATTGTTTCTGAGCTACTATGCCAAAACTTGCATTGTGTTATGAATTAAACTGTTTATTAACAGGCAGTTGGTTTATTTCAACAGGATAACATTGGCCTGGTGTTAGTAAAGACAGGATCATATATTATCTGTGCCACTTACAGGGAGGGGATGTATCCAAGTGTGTGTGTTGAAGCTGCAGAGAAACTTGGTGAGTATTGGAAAACTAAGTGTGCAAAACAGCTGAAGTTAAGACTGAGAAATATAGATCCTTATTTTTGTCTGTTTTCCCACTTCTCACTGTCAATACTGCAAGAGTAATACCAACATTCCAAATTTGATTCAGCATTGGTTTCTCACCCAATATCCCCTTGCTACCGTTTATGTAGGGGCACCATTTATATGGCCAGTACACCTATGTAAATGGCTATACAATGCAATTTCGGTTTCTAAGAAATAGATAGGACCCCAACACATATTTGGTAATGTTTAACATTTTGTCTGCTGCCTGTATGATGAGCTTTGACTTGTATTACAGTAATGAAAATCTGTAATTTCTTTAAAATGTCCCTGGAAGCCATCATTGATTTGAAAACATGTTAAAAGGACTTTTAACAGTTCTCACCAGTTGCAGACAAATCAGTTAGGCACAAGGAGAAAACAGAAAGAAAAGCACACCAAATTCTTGTGAAGAAGAGAAACAGTTCTCTCTCAGAAAGAAGTCAGATTGTTATATTTTACAGAAAAGGAGACAAGAACTCTTGGAGGTAATATCCAAGCTGACAAAAAAATCTTAAACCAGATATATGCATGAGTAGCTTGGAAATGCTGAAGAACTATAGAATATGGGGAAATAGATAGCGACACCTTGAAAAATGTTCATAATACAGAGGAGGAGGTGCTGGACATCTTAAAACGCATAAAGGTAGATAAATCCCCAGGACCTGATCAGGTGTACCCTAGAACTCTGTGGGAAGCTAGGGAAATGATTGCTGGGCCCCTTGCCAAGATATTTGTATCATCGATAGCCATAGGTGAGGTGCCGGAAAACTGGAGGTTGGCTAATATGGTACCACTATTTAAGGAAGGTGGTAAGGAAATGCCAGGGAACTATTGACCGGTGAGCCTGACATCAGTGGTTGGCAAGTCGTTGGAGGTAATCATGAGGGACTGGATTTACATGTATTTGGAAAGGCAAGGACTGATTAGGGATAGTCAACATGGCTTTGTCCGTGGGAAGTCATGTCTCACAGACTTGATTGAGTTTTTTGAAGAAGTAATGAAGAGGATTGATGAGGGCAGATCGGTGGACGTGATCTATGTGGACTTAAGTAAAGCGTTTGACAAGGTTCCTCATGGTAGACTGGTTAGCAAGGTTAGATCACGTGGAATACAGAGAGAAATAGCCCTTCGGATACAGAACTGGCTCAAAGATAGGGGACAGAGGGTGGTGGTGGAGGGCTGCTTTTCAGACTGGAGGCCTGTGACCAGTGGTGTGCCACAGGATTGGTGCTGGGCTTACTGCTTTTCATCATTTATATAAATGATTTGGATGTGAACGTAGGAGGTATGGTTAGTAAGTTTGCAGACGACACCAAAATTGGGGGTGTTTTGGACAGCAAAGAAGGTTATCTCAGAATACAGTGGGATCTTGATTAGATGGGCCAATGGGCCAAGGAGCAACAGATGGAGTTTAATTTAGATAAATGTGAGGTGCTGCATTTTGGAAAGGCAAATCAGGGCAGGATTTGTACACTTAATGGTAAGCTCCTGAGGAGTGTTGCTGAACAAGGAGACCTTGGAGAGCAGGTTCATATTTCCTTTAAAGTAGAGTTGCAGGTAGATAGGATAGTGAAGAAGGTGTTTGGTACGCTTGCCTTTATTGGTCAGTGCATTGAGTATAGGAGTTGGGAGGTCATGTCGCAGCTGTACAGGACATTGGTTAGGCTTCTTTTGGAATACTGTGTGTAATTCTGCTATAGAAAGGATGTTGTGAAACTTGAAAGGTTTCAGAAATGATTTACAAGGATGTTGCCAGGGTTGGATGGTTTAAGCTATAGGGAGAGGCTGATTAGACTGGGGTTATTTTCGCCGGAGCATCAAAGGCTGAGGGGTAGAGGTTTATAAAATCATGAGGGGCATTAATAGGATAAATAGACAACGTCTTTTCCCTGGAGCGGGGCAGTCAAAAACTGGAGGGTGTAAGTTTAAGGTGAGAGGGGGAAGATTTAAAAGGGACCTAAGGGGCAACTTTTTCACGAAGAGGGTGGTACATGTATGGAATAAGCTGCCAGAGGAAGTGGTGGAGGCTGGTGCAATTACAATATTTAAAAGACATCTGGATGGCTACATGAATAGGAAGGGTTTACAGGGATATGGGCCAAATGCTAGCAAATGGGACTATATTTATCAAGGATATCTCTTTGGCATGGACGAGTTGGACCGAAGGGTCTGTTTCCATGCTGTACATCTCTATGATTCTATAACTGGGTGTTTTCACAAAAGTAGTTAAAGCATGAGATGTGTACACATGAGGGATACACTATCTGGACTGGTGTGACTCAATGGAGAGAGGGCTGTTCGAAGTGTGTGTGTGTCTTGTAGATGATAATTGTTTCTGTGAAACCCAGATTGTGGAAGGAATGAAAGGTGTTGTCAGATAACACTCCTGACCTACTCAGTCAACTGCATTTTGTGAAATTTTGCAGCTTTTAATGCCACAAATTTGTGGGGAGTGATGCGGATGCTTTAAAGCCTTGTTGTACCAAGCATTTGTTCCATCGACTACTTAAAGCGAATTATAACATTTATTTGATTTATTATGTTGATCCTGATCTGTGAAATGATATTCCTTTCAAAAACTTTATCTTCACTCTGCCTGATTGTAATATGATTTTCTAAGTATCCTACTACTGCATCTTCAAAAAGGACTGTAGCATTTTCCCAAAAATAGATGATAGACTAACTGGCCTGGAGTTTCCCGCTTTCGGTCTACCTCCATGCTTCCATGGTGATATTTCACTTACAGTTTTCCAAGCTTTGGGAGCTTCACGGAATTTTGGAAGATTACAATCAATGCATCTACTTGAAACTGAGGGCATTCAAAAACTGATTGATCTAAATTAGAGCTATTTAATGAAAATAGCTACAAAAAGGCATGAATAAATTATTAATATCCACCAACTTTAAACTGAAAAGAGTGGAGAAAATGAATTGTATTCATTCTTGTTCTCACTATTTGCTTCATCTGGCAAATATTGCTGAATTCTTTCATCTGAAAGTTTTTTTGCTAATGGTAGGAATTGAACATATTGGCAACCATTCTGTAAAGTTGCAGATGTACTTCCTATTGACAATATGAAACAATTCTCTTATGGCATCATGGATAAAGTCAGTAGATTCTTTCTTCCCTTTTTGGTTCCACCATGACTGTAGATGATCAACAATAGTTTGTTCCTGGAGCAGTTGATCACTTGGAACTGGTTGAACTACTTGTGTTACTTAAAGGATGTTAAGGTCAAGTCATGCATTTAGGCTCAAAAGTGGGAACTGTTGATTGTGAATTATGTAAGTATTTTCATTCTCTTATCCATTATGTGTTGTAGAGTTAATTGTAGTGTAACCTCACTCTTGATAGTTGCCCCACCTTGACTATGTAATTTCATCTCTGTAGGCTGGGACTTCTGTTCCTTCAACTACAGTATTTGAACCGACAACACAGTGACACTCAAACATATATAAAGCTTAAAATTAATGAGCTGTCCATTGCAATCAACAGATTCTGTCAAACCTGAATTGTTTGGATCACCAATTTATCTTAAGAATGCCTTGGGTGTCTTTTCTAATGCTGGTCACTCCATCATATTGACATTTTTGTATGAGTAAGCAGGTGGCTAAAGTTGCACCTTTGTTTAGGAAAGGTTGTAAGGAGAAACTGGAGAACTATAGACCTGTGAATATGACTTCAGTTGGGGTAAACTGTTTGAGATGATTATAAAAATTATGATTTATGGACATTTAGAAAGGCAAAAATTGATTAGGGATAGTCGGCATGGTTTTGAGCAAGGAAAATCATGCCTCACATTTGGCTGAGTTTTTCCAGGAAGTTACCAAAAAGATTGATGATGGCAGTGCAGTAGACATTGTTTATTTAGATTTTAGAAAGCCTTTGAAAAGGTTCCTCATGGTAGATTAATTAGTAAGGTTAGGTCACATGGGATTTAGGGTGAGCTTGCCAATTGGAGATACATAATTGGCTAAATAGCAGGAGACAAAGAGTAATACTGGAGGGTTGCTTTTCAAACTGGATGCCTGTGACCAGCAGTGTTCCACAGGGATTGGTTCTGGTCCTGTTTTGATTGTCATTTATATAAATGATTTAGATGAGAATAAAGAAGTTATAAAGAAAGACTGGTTTTTCACTGGAGCGTAAGAGGTTGAGAGGCGATCTGATAGAAGTTTATAAAATAACGAGAGGTATAGATAGAGTTAATAGTAGTTGTCTTTCTCTAGGATGAGGGATTCCAAGACTAGGGGTCACATCTTTAAGGTGAGAGGAGAGAGATTTTAAAAAAGTCTTGGGAGATAAATTGATTACATAAGAGGGTAGTTCATGTGTGGAATGAATCTCCTGAGGAAGTGGTGGATGCAGGTACAATTACATGTTTAAAAGACATTTGAATAGATACATGAATAGGAAAGGTTTGGAGGGATGTGGGCCAGGAGCAGAAAGGTGGGACTAGTTTAGTTTGGGATTATGTTTGGCATGGACTGGTTGGACCGAAGGGTCTGTTTTCGTGTTGTATGATTCTATGACTCTCTTTAGCTTTTTGCTGTTGATCCTGAGTCCTACTCCTGCACATTTTCTGGAAGTGACCTAGGTTCATAGATGTATCATTCTTTTGTCATAGTGGGGCACTGCATATGCTTGTGAGGCTTTTTTGTTCCATAGCACTGACATTAACTGTTCATATTTGTTATCGGTTATCAAATCAGATTTCAAAGCTCCATTGTAATAATTTTCCACTAATTTGTAGGGGCAATTAATGAAATTATCTTAGGATTTCCTGATTGCAGAACTCTTGTGCCCTATTTTGCCCTTTTCAGATTTTTTGTAATCAGATTAAATTTATCATCAAAGTTTGAAGAACACTTTCAAGAGTGTCTGTGTCATAGTTTGGTGATTTATAACACCATCAGTTGTCTGTCCCGTTGAAATAGTAGTGTATGCACTTGTTCAATTTCTGGTTTGGTATTTAATTTTGAAGCAATTCTGAATCTTAAAAATAGTTTTCTCCAAGATGTCCACTCCTGTGTTCTGTTTCATTAAATCTTTGTGCATAATATTACTTCTGCTGCCATTACCTCCTTAATTCAATTATATTTTTTCCTTTAAAGTAGGTTTAACTCTGCAGCATCTCAATGTTGTTGGCAGTTTGCTGTTGTTTTACAGCTGTCCTCTTGCTGATAACAATGTTATTTTAATCTTATTTTTAAGCTTTTAATGCTGCAGTGAATCAATGATATTGGGTTTCTCTGCTTATAAAATTTGATAATTATGCACTTTTGAAATGTTGTCCCCTTGTTCTTGTTATACAAGCTATTAAACTCTTTGGTATAGCAACACCATTATTTTCTTCCAATAAATGTTTTGATTCTGTATTACAACAATTCCATTCTATTTCACTTTGTCTAAAACTTTCAATTCTAACAAGTTGCAATATTGTATTGCATGTTGGGCTTTTTCTGCCTTTTTGTAGTCAATATGATGGTTTCCCACTTTTTTGTAAGATTTCCTGCCTTTCCTGACCTAATACATATTCTCTTTTAATTTTACAACTATCTTCTTCTGTCAAATTCTGTCATCTGCAACTTTTAAACTGCAATTTTGCTATCTGAAATCTGCTCCATTTCCATTCCTCAAATGGTCTCATTGTCTTGAAGGTCCATAGCTCTCTGGAAGGCCATTAATGGAGAGCACAGCAGACCCAACGCAAAGACTAAGGCTGTCGCAGAAGGGTATTGGGCAGTAACCCTTAATCTTCAGAAGCAGATGGCCTGCTCACTGGTTGACACAATAGAGCAGCCTTAACTGCTCCTTACTTTGTATCTATTTCTTCTCAGCAGATCATAAAGTGAGCCGACAGCTTCGGAAACCTGTGTTCTCCTTTAAGTACTCCACCTTGGCTTTTAACTACCTCCTAACAACTTTTTAATTAGTTTACTTGACATTAATTGGAAGGAAAGTGGTATTTCTCTCTCATTTTCCCTCTGCCGTAGTGATTGTTGCCAGAGTTAGAGTCAGTGCCTTGAGATCGACAGGCCTTCTCCTTACCTCCATCCTTGCTTTTGAGGAGGGCTCCCAAAATTCAACTCATAGGAGCAGAAGAAGTGTAACAGAATGGATAAAAAGTTGGTTGAATGACAAAAAGCCAAGAATTAGGTTTGGTGTTAGATGGGTGCTGCTGAGACAAGAAAGCAAGGGAAATGATGCAGTCCAAGGGTCAGTGTCAATTTTTCTAAGGACATATTGCTATTTCAATAAATAAGTGTTAAAAAGTATTTTTTCAATGTTTTGTTAAATATTTAGATTTCAAAAGAAAATCTAGGCAGCATATTTGTAAAAAAATCAGTTTTCTGTGGTAATTTAATCACAGAAAATATTATACAATCGGTTCTGATATAATGAGTGTTTCCTCAATACAAATTAGCTTTAACATGATTGAAGAATTTAGACCGCTATTTGTAGAACACAAATTTTCCTTACCTGTATTGGCTTTAACGCAATTCCGCCCCATTAATTTAAATGGTGCAGCTATTGCATGATTTTTTTATAACGCGAGATCGCACGAGGTCAGAACTATCGTGTTATATCAGATTCGACTGTACTTTACCAGTTTGTAAATATTTTAGACTGTGCAGCATAACCTACACAAACATAAGGAAATAAGTAAATAAATAAGTTCTGAAGAACAGTCATACCAGACTTAAAAGGTTGACTCTATTTCTCTCCACTGATGTTGTCAGATCTGCTGAGTTTCTCCAGCATTCTCTATTTGTATAGGTAAATTAAGTGCCTTAAACATGAGTATAGCATGATTTTGTCACTGCTGTGAAAAAAAAACCATCTAAGAAAAATTTGTTTCTTTATTTTAGGTGATTACTTTAGATCAAAGGGTAAATGAAAGGATCAAAGACTTGTTTACTTATTGGTGCTACAGACAAACAGAAAAAGCAGAGAATGCAACAAAGCCAATTGGTAAATCAAGTCTACATCCAAAGACCACGTGTATTACGGACTCTACTCCCCCATTTCTATTGCATACGTGCATTGAATGTTTTATTACAAGATAGATAACAAGCCTTGTAAATCATTGTAGAAATCTGTAAAGAGGGAGTTTGCTCATAAAAGTACAATTCAAAAACTAGTGTAAAATTGTTTTTCCACACTGAAATTTCTCAATCCTCTACGTCTTTGTATTTCTATGTAATTAAATTAATGCATTTTTTCAGAAAATCACATTGTTGTTTGTGTTGCTGTTATTACATAGAATTCCACAGCATATACTGTATTCAAACAAAGCCATTAATGTGTATATTTTTTAAATTCATTCATGGGCTGGCTGGCCAATCAATCAGAAGTCACATATAGGCTGGATCAAGCAAGGATGGCAGATTTCCTTCACTGAACTTCATTAGTGAACCAGATGGGTGTTTATAACAAGCAACAGTGGTTACATGGTCGCCATTGGGCTAGCTTTTTATTAATTTCAAATTTCACCAGCTGCCATAGTGGAATTCAAACTCATGCCGTCTGAACATTAACCTGGGCTTTGATTACTAGACCAGGGATTATTACTGCTATGCCACCGTATCCCCCGAACTCTGAAAATGAGTTTTGTCCCATTGTATCTACCTTTTCAACATTTTATCTGTTCACTTTTCATTCTTACATTCATGTACTTTTTATTTTGAAAGTATCTAAACTATTTAAATCCATTGTTTTCTGTGGAAGGAAGTTCCACAATTTAACTACTCTCTGAGTAGAGACAATTCTCACTTTTGCTGTTGGATTTCTTTGTAAACTGTCTTATATCTGTAGCTTCTGCTTTTTGATTCTATCAGGTGGAAAGAAATATTTTCTCCACATCTATTTGGTCCAACCAATTCATCATAAAGAACTTTATCAGGTGGCCTCTAAGTGTTCTTTCATCTAAAGAAGAAAAACCCTAACATGTTTAATCTTCCTCAATAGTTGTAAATCTCGTTCTTCACATAACAGAATTGTTTTTATTGTTTTAATTGATTTCAATAGTCACTGACTTTAATGCTCATATCTTTTTTTGAATGTTAAGATATTACAGCCAAAAATTGTTGCCTTAAGTTGAAATTGAACATATTTTGCAAAGATGTGAATTCAAAATAGTGCATACGTTTTCAGCCCCTAAATACAGGAAAAATTTGCTAAGGGTTCTTTAATGATAAATCATTGTTTAAACTGGGCTGCATATATTTTGTCAGCAAGTTCCACACAACAAAAGTTTAATTTTAATATTATTGCAGGTGATAATAATTCCTGGTGAAACTATCACTCATTGGCAGTTGTCAGAAGAATGATCCATGAAATTTTTAAAAGGGAGAGGCTGCTTATCTAGTTTAATTTAGTAGCTTCTTAAGCTGACATGTCATCATCATAGAATCCCTACAGTGTGGAGACGGGCCCTTTGGCCCAACAAGTCCACACCGAACCTCAGGGCATCCCACCCAGACCTATCTCCCTATAACCCACCTAATCTACACCTCTCTGAACACTATGGGCAATTTAGCATGGCCAATCGACCTAACCTGCACATCTTTGGACTGTGGGAGGAAACCGGAGCACCTGGAGGAAGTCATTACAACATATTGTCAGAGATGCCATCTTTTGGATAAGACAAAAGAAATCAAGGTCCTCCCTGCCTGTTTGTGTGAACATGAAAGATTTCTTGACATTATTTCTAAAAAGCAGGTGTAAAGTACTATGGAGACATTCTGAAGCCACAAATTCTACATAGGCTATAGAAACACAATGTTTTTTTATTTCTCAAGTGTGAAAGGGACAATATATATTTTTTAGAAAGTTTATGTGACTTGGTGCTGGTTTTTGGATTTTTTTGGTGTTAGAAGACTGAAAAATATTTATGAAGAAACAAAACAGCCAATATTATTATTACATATTATTATTACATCATTGATGTTGCTTGAAGCATTCGGAAACATTCTGCAAAATAGGAAAATTATGAAAGACAGAATATGAGAATAGCTTGCAATAATGTACTATTTTGCCAGATTTCTGAAAAATATCCAAATAGCTTCACACAAATTATTTTTGACATGTACTTAGTTTAAAGGGGATGTTAGAATGATAACATTGACAGCAGTTCAGGAAACAATTTATGTAAATGATCTGTACCAATGGTTTCCAAACTGTAGGAAGTGGAGGGTGATGCAGTAGATCCATTCTGTAGTGGCAAGTCTGCTTCACAGGGACTGGCAACTGAGGGTTGGGGTAGAGGTCAATGGTGGAGAAGTTGGATATCGTGGTATAAAAGGAGCTGGTCGTAGTATCTGTATATAGGAGGGGACAGGGAGGGATTGTATGGTGGATGGTAACAAGGATGGGATAGTTTGTTGTGGGTGTGGAGGGTAGAGGGATTTCACTGACTCTTCCATCAATGGGAAAAATGGAAAGCTTGCTGAAATCAAATGAATAAATAAACATTTTTACAAAGAACTTTACAGATTTTCATTTTTATATAACATGTATGTTGAACATGTATTACATGTAAACTTCAATAATTATAGACTGAATGTTATGCTATTGCCTTGCTGTTTTGTTTTTGCTGACATCTGGGATCACCTTCATTTTCAATTGTTAGAATGGGGTGCATTGGAAAATAAATTTGGGAAACTGTGATCTATACAAAGCTCCATTCCAGATGGCAAATCAAGTTGATTATTCTGTATTTGTGTGACTATTCCAAACATAAAAATTTATGATTGAAGTGATGAAATACAAAAGGTGGGCCAAGAACTCAGCTAACACTAGATTGAGAAATTCTATTATGCTCCTTTGATAGACCTGCCAGATATTGATTCACAACAATTGAAATTTCCTCAATTGTAAAAGTCACCAATTTTCAAATCATATTTCAACGATGTATGTCAATAGTATGTCGGATGTTTTCATACATTTTTATCTATACTCATCTAAAATTGAGTAAATAGAGGTTAGGAATTTCTCTTTGTAAAATGTTTGAGGTAACAAAACAAAATGACAGGAAACTTTGAAAAATACAATACAGTTGAGAGCACCTGAAAAAAGAAAACTCATCAGATTGGGGTGCTAGGTGAGAATTGTTGATTTGTGTATCCAAAACATGGTCTACAAATATAACATATTTAAAGGGAAGTTATTTCAAGTTTTTATCCAATGTCTTTATAAAGTCATTCACTTTCTCTTTCATTTTCTCATCCAGGAACTTCCTGAATTGCTCTCGTTCCTGTAAACGGTCAAGCTTCTGTGTCTTTAGTACCTTTTGGCAAATGTTTTCCATGCTGGCCATACGACGCAATTCTTTATGTGTCAAACACTGGCCATTACCACCATCTCCAGTATTTCCTCCCAAAGATACAATTGACTTGGACCTCCTGAACCCAGGAGGCCTTGAAGAAACATTATTAATTGAAGAAGACATGTGAGGCATTTTCTTCACGTACTGATTTGTTGAAAACCTTCCATCTAATTCATCTTGAAGGGAAGAATTTGGACTGGTTCTCCCATCTATACCAGCCCAGGTATTCAGCAAACTTGCACGTCGCTGTCCAGATTGTAAATTACTCACTGTTGTTGAAGGAGCTGTTTTAGCTCTTCCAAAAAATAAAGAATTTACTCCTCTTGTCATTGTATCCCCATCTGAAGTAATCTCAGTTTTGCCTCCCTTTTTGAAAGTCCTTAGCTGACTTATTAAATCATCTAATTTACATTTTTGGAGTATTGTTTTTTGGCTTAATATATTCTGAAGTTCCTCTGTTACATTTGTACTTTCTTGCTGTAATCTTGAGAGGACAATGCGATGGCCATGGTACAGATGGTCTAGCTTATTGTGTAAAAGCACATCTTCTTTTCTATTTTTCATATATGCATCCACTATCAGCATTGTGGAGTCATTTGCCAACTTGCTCATTGTTGTATTATTAGGTGGCATCTTCCCCAGTACACCTGCCGAAATATTTGATGCCAAATATTAGTACAGTTATTAAGGCAGAAATTGTGTAGTATTTATGTAGTTTTATTTACATAAGAAGGTACATATATTGGGAGTTTAACCTTTTCAACTGATTGTTTATATTTGAAGTTTTCAAGTAAATACCAAACAATTAAATGAAAGAAAATGAGTTTGAAGTCAATAGTTTGCTTAAGAAAGGGAATCTGCTACCTTCAACGCTTTTAGTGGTTCCATTAACAAATCATCATAACATTCCCTATTCCTGACTGAGAATTGTAAGAAGTATAAATTAGTGAGTGACAAATATTGGCCAAATAAAATACAGGTAATAAAAACAGAAATTGCTGGAAAAGCTCAGCAGCTCTGGTAACATCTGTGGAGAGAAATCAGAATTAACGTCTCAGGGCGAATGACTCTTCCTCTGAATGTTCTGAGGAAGGGTCAATCAACGTTAACTCTGACCCCTTTCCACAGATGCTGCGAGACCTGCTGAGCTTTTCCAGCAATGTCTGTTTTGGTTCCTGAATCACAGTATCCGCAGTTCTTTCGGTTTTTATTTAAAATACAGGTATGATTATCAATTCATGCTTCTGCATGTATCTCTTCTCTACTAGGCTATTTGTGAACATGCGGAGCTCTTCTTCCGCTGCCTCTGCCTCAATGCCTTCTTCTTCAATAAAGACTCCCAACCACCTGCCTCCAACCTTCTTCCTCATCTTCAACAACCCCTCATGGCCTCTTACCCACCCTGGACCTCTTTATTGCTAACTGCCAACATGACATGAACCACCTCAATTTCTCCATCCCCCTCACCCACTCCAACCTCACCCCCTCCGAATGTGCCGCGATCCATTTTCTTTGCACCAATCTCCGTTTCACTATCAAACCCACTGACAAAGAGGGGGGCGGTGATAGTCTGGAAGATGGACATCTATATTGCAGAGGCCGAACACCAACTCTCTGACACTGTGTCCTACCTCCCCCTTGACCACGATCCCACCAAGGCCCATTAAGCCACGGTCTCGCACACTGTCCATGACCCCATCACCTCCAGTAATCTCCCCTCCAACGCCTCCAACCTGATAGTCACCTAGCCCCACACTGCCCGGTTCTACCTACTCCCCAAGATCCATAAGCCCAACTACCCTGGCCGACCCGTTGTCTCCGCATGTTCCTGCCCCACCGAACTCTTCCTACTCAACTTCGTTCTCCCACTTGGTCCAGGCATTCCCCACCTACATTTGGAGCACAA